TTTTTTTTTTTTTTTTTTTCACTTACCTGTGATGAAGACCTCTCAGTTTGCAACTTTCAGTCAGCATCATGGTCACCTGCACCTCAGAGGCATGATCTGCAGAATGATCAAAGTCACATCAACACAATCACTACCAAAAGACAAAATTCCTTATAGGAATAAGGATGAATTTAGTTTGTAACCACACATGGTTTATATTCTCTTCGTTTTCAATGAATGATTGCTCTGCCAGCGGTCATTTGTAGCGGGAAACGTCAGAGGAAAACTGATCTGTGCCAGTTCCTAATCTGTGCACATAGTCTGGTTCTTATGGAAAGTAGTATTGTTCCGTTCCCAATGGGTATATGAGAAGGAAGCAAAGAATTTAATACAGCCATAACTAGCACGGGGATATTGTTCAGAGCGGTATCCACCCCGCTCTGAATAAACACAAGCCCAGAGGAGTCAAAAGGTGGACTGGCAGAGAAAGCTGACACATGCCAGAAACAAAGAAACGGACTGCACAACACGCTGTGCCCCTTTCACTGACATGCAAACCCGCAATATCAAAACTCCTGGTTCATTCTGTGGCAAATATGTTAAACCCATCAAATCAGAAACTATTTGGAACACACTGATTATGTGTGATATGAGATCATTTATAAAACCATTATTTGAAATCACATGAATCTTCATCACTATTGGCTTTAGTTGGCCATCATTGTGCATCTCAACCAATGAGTCTTTATTCTGTAAGGCTGCTGTCATGCAGCGCTCACATGAAGCCAGAAAACGAACAGAAGCATGAAGACACAAGACTTTTACATGGGCATTTAAATTTTAATGTTCTTTCCCACAGCATGGTGTGTAGACATTACCTGTAATCCATGCAAAGCTCAAATGCAGTGTTTCCCCTACCATTATACAGGCGGGGCGGGCCCCCCCACCAAGGAGACGGCCCGCCCCTCTAAAAGTTTCACTGTACGTAGTCATTTTTATTTAAATAAGTCCAGATCAAGTCCAGAGCCCTTTTTTGCGTCCCTCCATAACCACCTCTCACCAAACTTGGGGAAAAAAGACGGTGCAGAGCGAGGCTGAGCGCTGTGTGTATGGTCCTCACAAAGATAGGAAGACGTGTGTGCACGCGATGAAAACTCTGCTTTTAATCACGTAGCACCGATGCGACAGTTTTGCAAGCTACTTTTTCTTTCTTTAAAAGAAAATGCAACAGGTGAAGCCACAGCATGCTTACTACCTTATCAATAATTTAGAATCACCAACACAGACCCCGCGTGCGACCAGGTTCCCGTGAGTCCGTTCATGTTCTATAAATAGCGCTGATCAGCAGCACAGCTGTAATGTCCCTCAACTTTGAAAAAAGTAACCAGAGTAGTTTGTAAACTCAAATCCAGACAGAATCAGCTGCTTTATAGGTCCTGCTGGACTCAAACATCGAGCTGAGCACTCCTCTCCTCTCCTGTCTCACACATCAGACCGCAGGTCAGACAGACAGCCCCGTTCAGGAGCATTAACCCTTAAGGGTCCAGAAAATAATCGGTCTTTAAAATGTGGTAAATAAATAATTTTCTGAGACTGAGAGTAAATTTTTTGATGGTTGCATAATTGCATTTTCTAAATGTTATCCTTTATATCTACAAGAGAGTTCTAATTCTTAGAAAGGACATGATTTGAGGTTTTTACTGGTAATATTTTATTTAAAACATGTTACAGAAGTCATAATAAGAAGGTTTATTTTGAACAAACATTACAAACGTGTTCATTCCTACAAAACTGTCAAATATATTTACAAACAACACTAAACTGATTCAGATTAACATAAAATAAATCATGTTTTATAATTAAATGTCTGTTTCCTGCTATAAAGAAAAATCCTCCTCCTGTCCGCCTCTTAATCAGGGTCAGGGTGGGGCTGGAACCTGTCCTCGCTGCCTTTGGGTGAAGGGACACCTGGACAGGTCTCCAGTTCACCAGAGACACCTGGACAGGTCTCCAGTTCACCA